ATACCTCACGTCATACGCACAGAGCAAACTGCTAACAGAGGATGAAGTCACCAGGCAGGAAGCTGAGGGCACCACTTTATCTTCGTCTTTTCTTTTTTGGTCTCTCTATCTGTTCCTTTTTGCTCTTTCTGTTTGTCACAGGAACTTATTTTTGATCAAGCCTTTCTTTTAGAGCTGTTTTCTCTGCCTGTGTTTGCCTCTAAATCCCTGCGGACAGGGTGGAGGTTTGTAGAATCAGCAGCGCTGGCTGACAGTCAACACATGATGTAAAACATGCAGCTGTTTCACCCAGCGCTCCATTCAAGTGCACAGTATTGGGACATAATCGGTTTAAGAAATCTTACGTCTTTGGCCACACGTTGTGATCCAGCAGCAGCTCAGATTTAACCGATGGAAGAAGAAACGTCCACAGACTTCTTATTCGTTCATGCTATCCTCATATCTCGCCACAACAGAAGAGATCAGCACAACATTATTAAATCTTGAGCATCTGATGTTCGGCATTTTTCCGATTAATATTGTTTATTTTAACCGATTCCTGATAAAATAAATGAAATTAAAGACGAACCACTTCGGCCTTAATGCAGCACAGCACTAACAGCCAAAAAACATGGAGGAGAAAATGCTGAAAAAGTTCTCTTGTAACATGTATAACAGAAATAACCAGAGTGCTTCAACAGTGTTATGTGTTGGAATTAGTCCTATTTTAAATTTTGGAATCAAGATTTTAATTTTTACTGCATATCTGCTCTAAATATTGTTTATTGGTCTCATTGGTAACTTCAGTTGACCCAGAGTTAGGACTCAGATGATGAATACAACAGGAGATGATCTCTGTGTCCAGTCAGGTCTGACAACATGCAGCATAAAAAGCATGTGCATTGTGCTTCCTGTCTATATTTTTGCTTATGCATTTTGTTTTCTTGCTTTATTTTTCTCTTTTTTGGGAATCTGCGGAAGGTTTCAATCACAAATATGTGCATCTCAACTTCTCAGGAGTCACTTTAAATAGTTTTGTTCTTCTACAAATAGCATCAGACACAAAAATATTCCATTTTATCTGAAGACAATCTTCAAATACTTGCAAGTTCTCACATAATTTGAGAAACTGAACAAAGTGAATGCAGTATTCCAAGACAAATAAGAAACAAAAAGAATAAAGAGTTTATGCAATTCATTAATTATTATTATTATTATCATTCAGCATAATAATAGAAGTAATAAGATACTACTACTAATAATAATAATAAAAATAACAATAATAATAATAAAAATGTTATTTTAGTATTGATTAATCTACAAATATATACATAAATCACTAAAATAATTGTTCTTGGTCTGAAAAAACAACAAAAAAATCACTGAAGAGGCACATCACTATTTACTCAGTAGAAAACAAAGACACGTCTTCAATATTCCCATTTAAGAGCGTACATTTAGGCGAGTTTGGGCATGTTTCTGATTATTAAAGCTGCCGTCATTCCACTGTCTGAAGAGTGACTAATCAAATAACTAATAATTCAAACTCTGTTTTTGCATAAGCACACAGAAGAGGCCTTAAAGCCCGCCTTCCTCGTACAACTTGAGCGTCGGCTGAATTTCGAGCTCGATAAAACCATCCTCGTCTCTGCCTGCTGCTCCTCATCTCTGACCTACATTTACAGCCGTGGTTCAGATACATTTCCAGGCTGGGCGGCTCTGACGACAGTTGCTCCAGAGTTATGGGGTCAGACGGACTCTTCCTTGCCAGGTCATGTGACACAAATACTCTGCGTTCTGTAACTCCCGCCTGCCGCTGTGACACATGGCACACATGCTGTACTTTATGCTAGAAGTGGTGAAAGTGTGCACAGATGTGACGGAGGAGGCAGCTGGCCGTGACCTTCACAACACACACAGAACAGAGATAATAAAGCAGCGTTTCACTTCCAGAAAACAACGCGCGTCTTCCACTTTGTGTTTAAAGTTCATCTCTGGTTGTTGATTAAACCGTGCGAGCTCCACGTAGCTCCACCTCCAGCTCACCTACAGCTCTGCTCAAACACCATAAAGCTACTTCACGTTATGCAACAACAAGCTTTAACATCGGAGTAATTTACTCATACGTGTTCAAACCAGAAACTGAAGTAGAACAATGAAACACAGAGTCCCACCCTGCACCCGACAGGACTGGTTCTTTAGGTTTGTTATGTGCAAACCCCCCTCAGTCTGGGTTTTTGTGGCTGTCACTGCAGCTTAAAGGTGGAAATAATAAGGTGTTGACTTCTCATTTCACTCATTATGTGTCCTCTATCGATTAAAAAACACTATTCAGACATTTTAACAAACTAAAACAACTTCACGCTGGATAGTCTTGAATCTACATCTCGCATTTTAACTAATGTTTAGAAGTGTTTCAGGTGTCACTGTGCTTTATTATTGATTACTTTTAAATTCCCAGTCACATTCAAAAGCAAAACAAAAGCGCTGTTTGCATCGGACGAGTATAACCTGAGGGCTTGTAGCAGTAACTGTGGAGGATGTCTGTGAGCTTAATGTAAAGCTGCATTGTCTGTAACTTGCAAAGTGAAAATTCCACCTCAGATGCAATATTCCACTAAACACATATCAGTCCTGTGTGAATCGACATCTCTGTGACTGATGTCATTCTTGGCAAAGTTTTTTGTTTCCACTGCACCTACCTTTCACCCTCACCCCGACCTGTCGAGACAGACAGCTGCTCTCCCTCAACCAGTTCTGCAGGTTCCTGTTCAAAGGGAGTTCTTCCTCTCAACTGCTGCCAAAATGCTGCTAATAGAGTATTTGGGGATTTTATGGTTGACTATATACCATCATAAGGTTCTCAACACAAATAGTTAAGCTATCCATCCAGCCATCCATCCATTATCTATACACCTTAATCCTCACTAGGGTCATGGGGAGCTGGAGTCTATCCCAGCTGACTCAGGGTGAAGGCAGGTTCACCTGGACAGGTCACCAGTCTATCACAGGGCTACACTTAGAGACAGACAACCAAGCACACTCACATTCACACCTACGGACAATTTAGAATCACCAATTAACCTCAACATGTTTTTGGATTGTGGGAGGAAGCTGGAGAACCTGGAGAGAACCCACGCTGCACGGGGAGAACATGGAGACTCCACGCAGAAAGATCCCCAGCTAGTTATGCTAGCGTGGTTAATCTGTCTATTAAACAATATTTTGGGGTCTTAAATTTCACATTTGTCTCAGCTGGAAAGTATTTTGGCTCCACTTGCATTGTTCAAATGTTCTATATAAGTAACAGTGACTAGACGTTCTTCAGCTATTTTCCACTTTTGTTGTATTGGCACTTAGAAGTAAAAGTTTGGAGAGGATTTTGGGTGCAAATTCAGAGATTTGTGTTGATTCTATGGCTGCAACTTCTCATTGTTGATTAATATGTTGATAATTTCCTCAATTAATGGATTTGTTGTTCAGAAAATGGTGAAAAATGTTAATCAGTGTTTTTCAAAGCCCCAGATAACAAAGATAATAAGTTTACTGCCATAGAGGGGGAAAAGAAACTGAAAAATATTTAGATTTAAGAAATGGAAACACAGCATTTTAACTTTTTTTTTTTATAGATAATTAATAAAACGTTAACAGATGAAGTGTTGCAGCTGTAGTTGCCACACAGTTCGCGGAAAGTTCAAGTTCCTCAAAAGAAGGAAATCTCAAAGCGTGATGAGATGGAGGACATGCAGGGCAGCATGTGGGAAGGAACATGTTGCTGTCTTTCAACAGGCTCAGCTGATGCTATGTGGCCTCTTATCTGCAGAATACGTCGGGAAATTTGAGCAAAACACAGATTTTGCTTATCCTTTGTTTAACATTAAACACAGACATGGAGGGTCACTTCTCAATCATTACATGTCTCCTGGTCACACTGGTCCTCTGCAAAGTGTTAAAGACCGTCTGACAATGAATAACTGAATATCTGCATTCCACTCAGCATTTGTAAATTCACAACCGCCTTTAAATATTCACTGAAGCCTCGCATTCAGTTCATTCACCGCTTTGTTTTCTCTGCTGATAAAGTGTTAGAAGAGGCGGACGGAGGGAGAGATTTAACAAGCTGTAAGTTCAGAGCCATTACTAACGCTGATAAAGGCAGCAGGCTAAACGAACCAGACAGACGCTCATCCGTCGATGCAACAGTGACGTCCTAACACTGATCATTAAACACAGGATTTATGCAAAGACAGAAGAAACGGAAGAATCAGAACAGCAGCATCAGAAAAAAAACCCAACATGCAGCGTTTGTATTGCTCACAATGGACTTTCTGCGACAACTGTGAACCTTGTTACCTTATTTGACACAAAGTCTGTCCATTTTATTGGTATTTCTGGGCATTTAAGCACAAACGTCCAAGAAAACTGGTTAAAAAAGATTAAAAATTCTACTTTCTTTTCATTTTGGAAACCGAGACACTCAACCCTGACATGAGAAACAGACACTGCACCCTGAAATAAACTACAACTGCTTTACAAAGCCAAAGTTTTCCTAAAAGTTAAACTGCCTGAATTGTTATTGTGCTCAATTAATGTCATGAGACAACAGCAGTAGGAATAAGTGAAGCATCTAGAAGGGCTTTTTTCTGAACATATTGTTCTGCTGCTGCCAGATTTAACACATCCAGTCGAGCTCCTTTATGAGGCGAGACTCTTCAGTTCATTGATTTTCAAATAAACGTTATCTGAGAAGGTGCAGAAGGTCAGATTGTGGAACATTAATTTTAAATACGGTGTAATGTCAACTATGTAGAATACGACACATCACCGTGTATTGAGCCCTCTGACGTGTGCAACATGTTACAGAGGATTCAGTGATAAGAACTTTGATTAAGTTTAACTTTTTAGATGAAGACAATAAAGGCTTTCAGCTTTAAATATAAAATAACCCTGAAAAGCCTGATGAGCATTTCCAGAAACCCCAACAGGCCCACAGCAGAACAGGCGACCTCCGTGACACGTACCTTGATGAGATGCTTGTTGACCCATTTTGTGAAGGTTTTCTTCTGCACTCTGTCTCGCTCATCTGAGGAAAAGCAAATAGAAAGAGAAGAGGGAGGTTAAACACATCATCCACATCAAGCCAGTCAATTATGTCGAAGATATTAAATAATCCAGCTGCAGTGGTTCTGTTGGATTTCACCAACACTTACAAATAAGAGAAGGATTTCTATTTAATTCTGAATAACATTTGAATCTCAAAGTTGCAGCTCTTTGCTCACACCTCAGAAAACACCAGAAAGCACAACCAGTGGCTCCGTAGCTGCTTGAATCGGATTATTCCCTCTAAATCTTTCTGTTAACACGCTTTCATTTCACCAGATGAATAAAAGACACAACCAAGTGGAACCAAACACAACAATCAAAACAACTCCTCTGGGATGATTTGTTCAACTTTGCACCAGATGAAACACGGTTCTGATCGTATCAGCAGCGATGTAAAGCATTAGGAGAGCTAATGGACAAACATTCATCTGTTCTCCGGTTTAATTAACTGTCGATTTGCCCTCATTAGTCAGACCTTTGCCGCTGTTACTTCCGCAAGGAGAAAAGCTCCACATCAACAGTCTTATGGGATTAATCCATTATTTTTGGTGGCAAAAAGCTGTAAACACCCCAACGTGTTCCCAACTTTGACCTCGCCCCAGCTTACATCGAACTTATTCAGCTTTCTCTAAACATTCACTCAGTCAACACCTGGATTTTGTAAAAAAGGAAGGACACAAACAGCTCAACAAGCAACATGGCAGGACATGTAAAAACAGCAGCTAACTCGTCTGGGTTTAATTCCTCAACAGTTCTTGTGCTGAATCTCCAGTTCACAGAGTTCTACGTTCTGAAATCATGTGAATATGGGCAGCCGGTCTGCTCCAAGTCTGCTGCTTTGAGTATAAAATACTGCTGCCAATACTAGCTTTTTATGTACATTTTTAATGTATTTTGCCTCATCTAGAGTTAACCTGCGGATTTGTTTTTCGACTGCGACCGGCTAACTTATTGAAAGTAGGTCTGATTTCACTTGGCTGAGATTTTCTTTCGCGCCTTTTCCTAATCTAAGGTTCTTTGAGTTCACGGACAACAACTCCTGCTGATAAAAACTGTCTACGAGCACAACGTCTTTATCTTTACTGCATGCTTTACTTGGGTGACATCATCCTCAGCAAACTGTCCCGATGAAACTCGCTATCTGAATGGAAACTGCTCGACTCCCCTGTTTTGTTTTGCTTTTCCCTCTCGTTAGTCAAGTTTCCACTGCCTCCAGCTTTATCCCGTCTCTACGATGCAGTCTGTGAGTGAAGTGCGATCTGCAGCCAGGCTGAGCTCCAGGCTGCGTCCTCCACAGGCCACAGCAGTGAGGCAGCCAGGCCAGGAATAGAGCCTGATGCTGAGCCACAGTCGTGTTATCTCCTCCTCCTCCTCCTGCTCCACACCAACGGAGCCTTTCTTCCTCTCCTGCCTTCCTCTGTTCATATCAGTCCGTCTGAGAGAAAGCACACCTCTCTGCTTTCCCGCCATTCTGTTAAATATCTAATGCTGTGTGTTCCTCCTGTGGCTTTGAAGAGTACGAGGAATATAAAATAAAACTCAGGGCTGCAAGATTGAACACCTGGACATTCTCAGTAGACGACACCATTGCAAATCAATTATTAAAAATATCACAAGCCATTGTTGAAGTGAGTCCCAGACACAAAGCTAAAAGAAAATCATGAACGGTGACATTATGTATGTTTCCACATACTGTCAAATAGTTTCTAACAGATTCAAACACATGCCTAAGAGACGCTTGCAGACCCAGAAATCCAGAAACACTGTTCATCCTCTGAACCCCAAAATCGAACAGCAGGTTTGAAATCCATGTTATCTTTTTTTTTTTTTAAGTAAAAGTCTGTACAAGAGCTGTAAAAATCAGACAGCACTATTAGATTTGAAACTTTCCGACAGTCCTTGAACTGATCAAGAGCAACGTGCAGTTCTGTTGGAAAAAACAATGAAATCTAAGCCTTAAATCGTGATATTTCATCAAACTCACTTCACTCTACAGGTCTCATCTAAAACTTCTTCAACAATAAACACTTCAGTCAAACGAGATTCTGTATAAAGCAAAAAAAAAATCTGTGATCTGAAGCAAAACTATGAAGCCATCAGTTACTCAGCTACAGTCATGTGGCAAAAACTGAACTGCAGGCTGTGTTTACACAGTGCAGAGAGGAGAAATTAGAGATTCAAAGAGCAAAATGAAACACGCTTGATCAATAAAATAGACGCTAGATGGTTCAGAAACGGTATACAGAGCAGCAAGTTGTCGGCAAGCTGTTGGAAGATACAATCTGCATGGTGAAACTTTGAAGTTAGTTTAAAATCAAATTTGTAGAGACTGAAAAACTTGTTAAAATAACTGCATTTTTTCCAGTATTAGTAACACATGTGGGCACTTGGAAGGCTTTGTTGATTTTTGTAAACTAAATAACCCAAGAACTGTTTTATGTGATTTATGGGATTATAACTGTGTCGTACAGCACAGAGGATATTTCTGAGTTCTCTCCACTCATAGTCCTGGTTGTGCTGTTTGCACAGAGGTGCAGAGGTTGTGTTTTATTTTTACTTATCTTGACCTAATCTATTTTATCTTATCTCTTTTCTTCCTTGTTGTTACACTGATGAATGGCGGAGTACTTTTATTTTGTTTGTCTTGTCACTTGATCAGCTCCCTGCCCGTCAGGTTCACTGTGTGTTTTGTCAAGAAATGCCAAAATGCAATCATTTGTTTTCTGTAAAACAAATCTACTCACAGGTATCACTAAAGTAACCTTGAACCTTGACTTTATACCGCAGTGAAAAAAAATGAGCCCAGAAAGAAAAAATCTGAGGACAAAAAAAAACCTCCCATAAAGGTTTGGAGGCTTAATATTTTAATTACTAGTGCGTCTGAAAAACCATATTAGAGGGTGTGTTAAATTATACCATAATAAGATGATTTAGATTCTCATGTCAAGACTCGCACACAAACAGAAGATGATTTTCCCTCCAGTCCATCCAACACAGTCACTTCCAGCCAATCAGAGAGCACCATGCTGCAGGTACGTCCCTTCCTGTCTGCTGTGTATTGGTTGCCGTGGTGACGCCATGACAGAGAGCAGCCATGTGGAGAGAGTATCACTTCCTGGTTCACAGATCCTTCAGTCTCCTGCCTTACACCTGTACAAACAAACACCGACAGACTTCCACACCTCCAGCTACCGCGGAGCTCCAAAAGTAGAAAGGATTTGATTTAGGATTTAGTGGGTCAAGCATCTCGGCTGGATAAAACTCAAGGTCAGTGTCGACACTGCGTAACGCTCGCACACTCAGAGCAGTTTACATAGACGGAAAGCCTCCAGGGAGAGAGCACATATTTCAACATGCTCTTGCAAAATAGTTTCACCACTGCAACACGCCTTTATCCCCAAACCTGCCCGGGTGGCTGAGCCCGTCAGCCCAGAGGAAACACTCAGGCTGCTGCGTGTCACTACACACACGCATGTCGGTCAGCCACCCTGCAGCACGCACTGTTATTTAGCCTCATCTAGGTGTGGCGATCGGGGCTGTAAATGCGCCGCATGTGTGTGAGTATCACTACATTTGCACAACAAAAACCAGAGACGTGAGCAGAAGCTGTGATAAGTGAGTGACAGCCACAGACAGGCGCTCATTCATCCACACAGGAGGCCATTGTTTAGTCGCACACACCCCCCTGTTTAAACACAACACGCAATGCTTGTACTCTGCACTCGAACCTACAATGATTAATAGAGCCAACATGCACTGTTGTCACCAGAATAGTAGCTGTTCGCTCGGTGAAACACGTGCTGACAGGAAGCGGCAGCATGTAAACAACCAGCGCTAGCACTGACCTGCACAGCACATGAGCGAGTACAGGTGAGCGTTGAGATGACATTCATTCCTGTAGTCGGGCCACATCGTCCGCCGGTTTAATATTTCCTCCTCCTCCTCCAATCAGACTGTCATTTGGTGCATAATCCAAGTCAGGAGTCGGATAATTATAGAGCTGCCTCCACGTATCCAAGCCTGAGCGCTGCAGGGTGAGAGTGAGCAGGTAGTTCCAGTCTGAGGAGTCTCTTCTGTTTGTTTCAGGTCTAGTCTTCAGCCGTTGCCTCTCTCCTCGAGCCCTGCGTTCGCTGCCATGCCAGCCTCCCCGGCCTTCGTTCGGCCTCCGTCCCTCGCAGTCTTTCCCAGCTGCTCTCACACGTGTGTGTCAAAGTCAGCGCTGACTCCTCCCCTCAGTCCAAACAGGACGGCCTCCCTCCCTCACCTCACTTCTGCTTCCTCACCCAGCAGCCTCCCTCTCTCTCCCTCTTAGTGTCACTTGTTCTCTAGCTCGCTCGGCCCCGGTTTCCAGGCCACGACAGACGGTGTACAGCTGACGGCGGCTCTGCAGAGCTGCAGGGGAGCTCGCTGTGTTTATCTTCCTCCTGCGTTCTCTCTACAGCGCGTTTCCTTCTCCACGCGTAAGTAAGCAACTCTGCCTGCTGACGAGCAGAATCCAAAGAGACGCCTTGTTTTATTTTTTCATTTCTGCCTAAAAAGGGCAGTTTGTTCAGAGTACATCCACATTTTCAGTGACGCTCTGAGGCTGGTTTTGTCACAGAGGAGAACAAAAAGACGAATCCAAAGACGTTATGGCACAGTTTTTCGGTTGCAGCCACTTAGGATGCTGGTATCCACTACGTCCTCCTTACATACATTCAAAAACATACAAATGTAAAAAAAAATTGAAAAATTGTAAGAATAAAAACAGTTAAAATCTGGCAGCAATGGTGCCAGAATATATAAAAAAAATAGAATACTGTAACATTCAAAAAAACATATAAAATCTCCTGAATATTGATTAGTTGCTGGATTTAAATACAGTAAAACTGGAATTTAGTCACAAATTGTAGAAGAACAAATTAGGATTTGTAAAAAAATAGATATTTTTTAAAGTGGACATTATCTATAGTTATGTCCTGTCTTTTTATTTGTTTGTTT